TATCACTTTTGGAATTATAACTAGATATAAAGCGCACAACTTTACCTGTACTTTGACTTACAAAATTATAATAATATATTTTTGAAATGAAATTTATTTCATAAATTTTGAATACTTAAATATACAATGCAAGTATATTAAAATAGAAAATACATACAAATCTCTCTAAGTGCACACACTATACATCCTTCCTAAATGTACGCTATGGTCAATGAACTGGAACACTAGACCAGAGAATAGTCGGTATAATCATTGGATCTTTGGTCCGTTGGCAACACTGACTGGATCAATTATTTATTATTACAATGAGAACCAATTAACTTTGGTCCATTGATTTATGCAAGCTGCGTCGCAATGGAACATGGTCCAAAGTTTATTGGCAGTCCCATAACCACTGGACTTGGTCCATTGGCAACACTGGCTCAGTCCCAAGCTTATAAGACCTCTAAATATTTATTCTCTAAAATTGTCAGACTAGTTGTCATGTGGACTATTCAAGAACCTGCAGAAATTTTTCGCCAGCTATTTAGATATGCCGAAGCTATAATGTAAAATAACATTATGCTTAATGCTGCCCGGCATTTGATTGAATCCGACATAGTAGTCTTTATCTTCAAACTTTTTGATGGATTCGACTAGAATATTATTTTGATTCGAGAGAATTTGGATATCCTGACACAACTTACTTGTTTATTCTTGTGGATTATCACAGCAGAATGCCTGAATTTTCAGGCAAACCAGCAGGTATGATGACATTTTTTTCATGGGAGAGTAGAAAGCGGGTATATCAGCTGTCAACAAGGATCTGTGTATAATTTTTCTATTTTCATGAGTGTGTATTGTGTACTTGCATGCAAATACCTTTTACCCCACACTTCCCCATTCATTCTTGATAATAATAAATAATAAGAATAATTCAGGATATATATATAACGAATATAAATATTTGTGTGACCAATCAGAGAAACAACGGTCTGAGCTAACATTATTTTTATCGTTACGAGATTAACGATGTTTTCCTATCAGTGTGAATCTGAAGATGGCAATGGAGGAAAAGCTTATTCCCTTTACCCTATGCATAATGATAATTGTATATCTAAGTGACCTTGCGCCACACACTCTCTTGTGTCTGTGTCCTTGTTTCTTGTGTTCAATTTTATATAAAAATGTAAAAAGAACGAAAATCATTCAAGTTTCACACCTTTCGCGATCGATTTCGATCGTGAATTATTTGAATAATAACGATAATAATAATAGTTAATAATTGATTTTTTAAATATAAATTCCACAGTCTTCTTCCCAATCAATTCATCATCATTACTTCATTCTCTTTTTTTCTTTGGATAATGTTTAATTTGTTTAAACATAAGTTACTAAAAAAAACTCCCCGGCTCTGTATTGCTAGATCTTTAAATTCAATTAGTTTCTCCATTCAATTTTCGACAAAACACAAAAAAACATTTCAATAAAGTCGAAATAAAAGTTGAATAATCTTCTATCGTTTTATGAAATCTTTTCTCGTTTCGTTTTCTTTTTGATCTTTGCCGTAGTTTTCATTACAAATTCGGTGTATTCATTATGTTAGGGCCGCCATAAAAAAGGTGGCTACTTTATTGGTGAAATTAATTTCTGACTAATTGGTAGGTAATCTTTACTCAACACGAAACGTGACCAATCACAAAATAAAGTATCTTGTTGATGATGAAAGATTGTCTCATGACAGAAGTCTATCTGTAAACAACATATGAGAATTTGTTCAGTGTATATCGGTTAATTGAATACAAAATAACGATCCGATCAAAGTTTTTGGTTATCTGATGGAAAAGAACGTTTTAGGTAATAACTGCATACACACACATATATATGTGTTATATGGTATTGTTGAATAAATAAAAAAAGACACATGATCAATTAATAACAATCGAAATTTGAATGAAATTAAATTTCGAGATTTATTAGGATTTTCTCGATCCTTCAAATATTTGCTCCTTCTTGTGCCAAACTACAGATGATGAAGAAAATGCCATAACAAAAAGAAGCAGCAAACAGCAGGAAATCGCGCCTATGATTGTTCGAATCTCTATTATATATGGATAATGGCATTGTATAATCATTTTCCATCAAATCACAATACTAATCAGTTAGAAGTTTCATAATGTTTTATTTTGCCATGAATTCAAAAAACGTATCGTGAAAAATTATATAAATCTTGATCTTAAGAACTATTTTAAATAATGGAATTAGCATTCTATTATGCGTGTATACACGCACATATGCATACATATTATTTATGTATATGTATGTCTAGCTGCGTGCTTAAAAAAGGTGGTAGTCTATCAATTAATGTGAACTTCTATTGAGGGAATAGAGAGTATGGGATCTCGTGGAACAATCATCATAAGCTCGTTTTTTTTACGACTATAATGGTAAAACCTAAATTAATCAATAAATAGTAAATATTTAATGCGCGAATAATTACCGATCACCCGAATATTGGAATTTGTCGATGGTGAAGTTGATTTCGGTCGGCTACTGATGTCATTAATGCAAAATTTAATCTCTGTGCATATGTATATCATAGTTATACAGTCAGTAAAAGAATCACGATGCTGATTATTATAATGAAGTGAGAGGAGAGGAAATTTTCTTCCATCTTCTACTTTTTTCTCGCCCAGTCTATGTTTCTATTGATTTTATTTTTCTTATTTCCTTTAGAAAAATTATTATAGAATTTTACTATAACTTATATTAAGTTAAGTTAAAAATACACATATATTTATATTAAGTTAAAAATACACATATATTTATAATACACATATATAGAGTGTAGATCTTTTTTTGCCGCTTATTCATTTATTTATTTTGTGAATCGTTGTTTCGACAATTTTCCCTTTGCATCACACAGTCTGCATTAATTTTCCATCAGGAGAATGAGAAATAGAACGAGACTAAAACAATAACAAAAACAAATAATCATTGTCATCATCCATTTTTGAAAAATAATGGGAGAAAATAAAATATCCATTTGTCAATAATCACAAAAAAAAGACGGATTACCATTTATTTTTGATATTATTTGATAACAAAGTAGAAAATCTATGAAGGCTAATCTAGAAATCTAATTTACTGACTATAGCAAAATGGGGAAATCCAACGCAAAAGCCTCATTTCTCCACAGAAGCTATCTCAAAAATGATATCGCGTGTATGTGTGAAATGTTAACACAGGACACGCGCACACAAATAGCAATAATCAGAACATCTCCATAAATTAAAATCCAGAACTGACAAGTGAATGCACAGTATTTTATATTACATATATATATTATTTAGAATACAATACTTGTCATCGAAATTAACTATGAAAATCGACACATCAATTTTCTCATCATCTCCGTTAATTAATAATCAAAAAATGCATATATACACAAAAACCGATAATTTAACCCCACTTTATAATTCATATATTAATTTTTCAGCATTAATCTGTATATGAACAATTTTTTCAAACTTTTATAAAAATGTGGAGTTTTTCTGTAAAAATGAATCGAATCTTAACTTTTTTTTTGGCTGATCATCTCCATTTTAATTGTTAAAATCAAATTCTTTTTTGTTCTTGCCTGATAAACTACTACCACGACTAATGCTATTATTTTAGCATCAATCATCATCATAATTTTAATCATTATTATTTCGGGTGCACATTTTTTATATTGTACTCCCTCCCCGCGTCCATTTGTTATAAACCCACATCTCATATCCAATTTAACGAGACTGTGGTCCCAGTAAATTTAGTATTGGTAAGTCGAAAAAATCAGTGCCGCTCAAATCCTATTACATTTTTTATGTATAATTAATAGTAATAATATATAATTACGATTATTGTTATATGATTGATTAACTTTTCTCTTGCTATTCCTCGTCTCATACACATTTAATGTACCCAACATTTACTTCTGCCCTTTTTGCATTTATAATGAATCCCGGCTTTTCTGTTGCTTATTTTCAAATTTCAAATTTTTATCCTAAACCCTAAACCATCACCCATTGCTACTACTACTATTATTATACTTTATTAATAGTAGTAATAATAGTAATAGCAATATAATATAAGGTAAAATAAAAAAAATGAGAATTCTCTTCTTCGATATTTTTTAATCAGTAGAAGTATCGAAATGCACAACACACACACACACACAATTGATTGATCATACACATTTACGCGAGTTTCTTTTATTATAATATAATATAATCTATATTATACTATATTATAGATTATATTATTTTTATGTGTACAATGCTGTTGTGTGTCGTGTTTTCTTTTTATATCGTGGATATTTTTTCGCCTTCAAAACTTTTTGAATATATATATCACGTCTTGTTTCGAGTCAGTGAGGATGTGTATGTGAGAGTAGTAGCGTGAATATGTAATATATGTTTGTAAAAACAGCATTTTTTTTACTAGTATCACAAAAAAAAACAACGACAAAATAATAATATTATTATTATTATCGATTCCAATCACATCCATAATTTTTGTCGGATATTTGCTAATAATAATAATAATAATACACTTTAATAATCATAATCGTTATTTCTCATTTTATTTTTCGATACGTTTCTAATAGTAAGTTTTCTATTCCTCACTACTCTTTCTTTTAATTAAAAACGAAACAACAAATGGTAACGACTTAATAGTTCTGATCCAAGTAATAAGCACACGACGAAAAAAGACCAAATCGTATGGTAGGTGTTATGCGAGACTGATAGACTGTCTTGCGTCACGCGTTTTTCTTCCTTTCAAATAACGTGAACATATTTCTTAATGACGTGTTCATTGTTTACCTTGTATGCTATTTGCGTTTTTGACAATTCAGAATGCAAACAATTCTAACCGAAAATATTCTTGACCATCTGAAACAGACATATAGGCTCTCGCTACGACAATATAACGATAATAACTCACTAAGTAACTTTTATTATAAAGCAATAATATAAAGTATGACAAATGTGCTCGCGTTTTCACAAGTGAAGGATTTTCTCCGGAAATGTAACCTCCTGGAGTATTATGAAAGGCTCATTGCTGAAGGTTTTGACGACTTGCAATCGGTATGTGCGTGTTCCTTGGTTCTCAAAAAACGCGTAAAGTCTGTGTGTGTCTTAGTTGATAATGAAGGACAGGGTGAAGTTGTCAATTTTGTTTGGTTATTTGAAGAGGTGACGGTTATTGAAAACATCATTGTTATTAACCTAAAGGAAGAAGACAAACTTGTTTTTAGTCGACTTTAGTCAAGTAACGATATTAATGAAGACAGCACATTTTTAATTTACGAAAATTTTATACCGACTAACAACTACCGTTAGACACCGTATCAGGAATATCGTGTAACTCTTTCTTAACAAAAATAACCGTTACTTCATCCGGCGATCGATTGATATACATCACCATTATCATACTAACACACATACACAACAGATAATGCTACATTTTTGGTATACATTTACATATATATACACACATATATATATATATATTCTTTTAATCTATTTTTATATACAAATACAGTTGCTGGATGTGACCGAATCGGATCTTATCGCAATGGATGTGAAGAGAGGTCACCGAAGGGTGATTATCGAATTGTGTTTCTCTAAAAAAAAACAAACATGTTGTATAGATCTACAAATTTATTAATATATTTTATTTTTATTATTCCGCCACCACCACCATAATACACGTATCACCATCTGACGCGTATTCACAAATCTGATTAGCGATTGCAACGTGAAATAGCCACGGTTAAAGGGGTTCATCCTAACTTACCATTGTATATACCACCAGGTCCAGCATTTGAGGAAGTTAGCATAAGTAAGTGGTTGTTAATGTAATCACGTGACTATTGTGGCTTATTCGGTTTTTCTAATTAAATATTTCCAAAAATAGCAAATTCAACTGCACCACCACCACCAATACCAATGCAAGTTCAAACAACGCCAACGTCAATATCATCAACAAATGACAATAGCATACTCCAAAATAAATACGCGAATCTAAACACACAAACTAATAATCATCATGGGCCTCCATTACCATCCTTGTCATCAAGAGATCGTCATCAATATGCAACAAAAGAAGATGACCCCCCGGATAATAATAGAGATTTACAAGACAACGGAAATCCTAAAAGAAAGTATAAACGTCACCCGAAACGAGACAAAAATGCACCAGTGAAACCGTTGTCTGCTTATGTGATGTTTGCTCATCGCGTACGTGAAGAATATCAAGGTCAAAATATTTCGTTTCCGGATATGGCAAAGATTGTAGGCGAGCGATGGAAAACTATTCCAATTTCCGAGAAAGAGGCAATTGAAGCTGATGCTGCCAAGGCTAAAGAAAAGTATCGCGCGGAACTAGAAGTATACAAAACTACGGATCAGTGGAAGGTAAATTAATCTTTGATTGAATTGCTATAGATTTTTTTTGATTGTATAAAAATTTTTAATTATTATTATTATTCATCATTAAAGCAATATCAAGAATACCTTAAAGATTTCAAAGCTAAATACGAGACTTCACCTTTCCGCGGAGATCTTATTAATAAACAACGAAAACGCTCTAAACTTGAACCATTACCAGAGCCAGACAATATCAGTCATTCTGGTTATTCAAGTGCTCGATCCACCTCACTCGGATATCAAAGTAGTGGCAGCAGCAATTCGAATGGCGAACATAATCTTCACAGCCATCACGGAACACCGCCGATGAATGTAGGAGGAGGAGCACCACCTCGTCTTAATACATTTAACAGCGCGGGATCAAATTACGATGCACCATTCCATCATAATAGTAATGGTTACCACAACAATAATAATAGCAATCATCATTATCAATTTTCGGGCAATGTGTTCACCAATTTTAACAATCCGAATAATCCAAATAATCATCATGCCACGGATAAACATATGATGAATTCATCATTTAATCAGCATCATCATGGATCATCGTCAAATAATAATAATAATAATTCTAGTGGCGGTGATGATGAATCTTCAATGCCTCAAAGCGGAAATACTAGTAGTTCTGGTAGTGGTGGTGGTGGTCGTCGAGGATTTGATGATTCCGGTGTTTCGACCGATAATTCTTCTGCGACTACTAGTACTAATAATACTCCCCCGGCTGCTTCAATAGAAAATGAAGATATGAATAACAATGTGAATAATTCAACTCAATTGAAGCAGCAGCAACAACAGCTAACATCTCTTCAACAGCAGTCCATTCAACAACCATTACAAATGCCACAACAGCAAAAGCAACAGGATTCATCAACTATTGTTCGCTAAAATTATCCAAATACTCATTTTGTGTGATTGGAGCAACATAAAAAAGAAAATATGTATCGTTTTTTTCCTTCTTTATTTTTCGCTTCTTCCCTTTATTTTTCGTTTCTTCCCTTCTTTATTTTTCGTCTCTTCCACTTTTTAAACTATTAGCTAGTTGTTGTGGCACTCATCATTATCATTATCTATAAAAATAAACAACATACATACTTTGAGGGTATTCTAATTTTTGTATGATTTTTTCCTTATGTTTTACGATTCAAGATTAAACCGTAAAAAAAAGTGCTCCCATTCGTTTTCTCCTAAAATTTCGACACAAAATTCTGCGGATTTTTTTTAAATTTTTTTCAGTTCATACTTTTCACCTTTTTCAAAGATAGCAAATTTTTTCACGCTTTATTTGTATTTTTGAATGTTGCACAATAGTCACAGACTATCTACAATGTGCAACACTCACTTGGAATTTTATTTTGCTCCCCTACTCTTTAATTAACACTTTTTATTCTTCATCGATATTCCTCTTCCTTATAACTTTTCTAAAAAGAAAAATGTAATTAACACGCAGCACAATTTGTTTTTTTTATTCATTCATCATCATCATCACGCACTCTTAATTATAAAAAATAAGTCATTTACTTATGCTTAAATCATATAGAACAAAAAAATTATAAAAACTAAAATATATCATATCAATCAATGTAAATAAATCCAAAACTTGTATTTATAAATTTATAAAGGAAAAATTTTCCGATATCCCATATCTAAAACTCCCAATTCTTGTACGCCACCATCCATCCATCCATCTGCTATACAACTCCATCTATTATATAATCATGTACTGTATTTTTTAAGTTAGTATGTTATCGTTATGCAATAAAATAATGATATTTATATACAACTTGTTTGAGATTTTGACATGATGCAAACCAATTCATAATAAGACTACACCTTATTAAATAATGCTGTAAAAATAATCAGAGCGAGGGCGGATATATTGCATTTGTTGGCTAAATTTAGCTGGTCCCGTTCCAACCCGACACGAAACCAAAAAGATGACAAAAAATATCTAAAATAATACTTTTGGCTTTTCAGTCGCATTGATTATTTATGTTGTTTTTTTTTGTTCTTTCACAAATATATGTTCCGTTTTCGGATATGTTCATCAACATTACGCGATCTTGCAAGCGGGTACGCGTGCGTGTGTTCAGCTTCGAATTGCGTAATTGTTATTATGTAAACCTTGAGTTTTTTATCATGTGTTTGTTTTTGGTTTCCAAATAGTTTGGTGTTTTTTGAGATAGAGTTGGTGTTGTTTGTTGTTTATAAATGCTAAACCTCTTTTGTTAGGTTGAGCCATTGTTTGATGCATGTATGCCACAACAGGCTCAAAACTTGATGTCTATGGAAAGATTAATCTGCCAATTTCTACAAAATGAAGTTTGTCGATACACAATGCGCATGTATAATGTGCTTGTATTTATTTTCTTTCTGTCTCCGTGTCAATTGAATGTCTCTATAACCCTATTGTTCCCTCTGTATGTTATATGTACTGAACTCTGGGTTGTAGTAACCCTGTATGTTATATGGGCAGCGGGTTTCTTTTGAATTGTCAAGACTAATTTCGCATAATTAGCGGGATTTATTCGTCACACAACTTGATTGCGCAATTTTTATTTTTAATTAAATGCGCTTATATAAATTGTGTTTTTGGTTTAGTGTTGTTATCCAAAAGATTTTATTGTTCTTTCTTTGGTTAGTTGAATTAGTTAACTAAGGACACAGGTGGAAAATTATTGTGGAGTTTTTGTGGCGTCGAGGGGAAGACCCTGCTTATTCATATGGGCTTAGACCACCGATTTTATATTACTGATCGAACAAAGGCAAAAATACTTTTGTTTACAGCTGACTCTTTATAATAAATTTATTATAGGGAGCATTAGCTTATATACTATATAAAAACTTGTGACTTGACGATAAGAGACAATTGTATTTCCTGTAAAAATACAATATTTATTTTAGTACTTTTCTACAGTGGCTCACACAAAAGTTTATCTCCGTTAATAATATCCAAACAAAAATAAACAAGTACTCGTTTTAAACCTCGAAACTTCTAGTATTTTTTTTTAACAGATTATTGTACCAAATAGACAGAAGCTAGAGCCATACCTGATTCTGCCACTGCAAACAATAGTACCATTTATCTATAAAGATATTATCTGCTGGCATGGATTTTTAAAAGAAATAATTTCAGATCGAGGAAAAAATTTCAATTAATGAATTTCGACCATAAATCTAATTTGGACCACTAATTAAAAATGTTCGGGATCTAATGTCTCGATAAATTCGGTAGATTTCACTAATTGAAAATTTTGACTTAAATCACTCAATTTCACAAATAATCTATTAGAGGTTTCGAGGTTTAAAATGAATACTTGTTAACGGAGATAGAAATTTTAATCGCGTAGTAGCTGCTTCGGTAGTTCTCGTTGGTTGTTGCAAGAATAAAACTGGCTTAACTTTGAGAAAATTGATGTTTATTGATTAATGCTGTAGCAGCATTTTCGTGATCGAACTTTGCAGCTGTCTGAGTCACTTCAATTTCTAAGAAATTCGTAGTTGCAATATTTTTTCATCGAGTTTAGAAAAAACGACAGGCTTGAAAGTTTGCAAAAAAATTACGCTCATTAATTGATCTGCCTTTTGTAATATTTAACGTTATATCGGAAGTTTATACAAATAAAATTTGTAATCAGTGAAAATTTACTATTACATAAATCCATATTACCATAACGCTGCTAAATTATCATTTTAAACTAACATGTCATTTATGGTTATTTTATCAATCCAGAAAATCTGATTCCTAATGATTGTTACTATCAATAATCATAATCAGATAGAATATCATAATATTTTATAGTGCAAAAAATCTAAACTCAATAATCAAATAATATATTTTTAAAATCTTTTAATTTCCTAAAAAAAGTAATTTTTTTAAAAATTGACTGGCAATGTTATTTTTTTATAATAACTGATCAGATTTTTAAAATAAATTTTACATCAAAAAATTATAAATATTTAAAGTTAGATATTTTTTTATATGCTCAATCTAAAATTGAAATATATTATATAATTATTTTATTTCATAACATGCTTTAATTGGTTAATATTTATTATAATTTAAGCTGGTACTATAATAATGCTAAATTATTATAATATTAACCTGAATTAAATGATATAAAATATATAATTATTTATTTTTTTGTTCAGTTATTTATATTTTGATATATAATATTAGAGTAATATTAAAAATTAGCTAATTTTACTCCAAGTAAGGTTGCTTGCCGAAATCTCTTAGTAATCGCTGAAATTCTGTCAAAATTATAATAAACTATTAGTAAATAGCCTGCCAAAATTCTGATGAGTTTTGAAATCCGTCATAATCAAAATTATGCTGAAATTCTAATTAACAATTAGTGTGTAACCCATCAAAATTATGATGATATTTTTCTAAAAGAATTTAGGCAAGCATCCTTAACTCCAAGTAAAAAATTGAATCATAAATCAAATATATATATATATATTCATTCAAAATTTTTATATTTTTTATAATTATTAAATTATATTATTATTTTTTATTTTTTTATTATGACATTGTTATAATTCAATTTTTTGAACTTTTTTTGATATTTATTATTAATTATAACTAGTTTTCAATTATATTTATTAGTTTATATCTTCTAATAAATTAATCTATAATAAGTTATATTGTTATCATTTTGATGAAGCTTTCGAAATACTCAAAGGTATTTATAAAATTTAAGGAATATTCAAAGGGAAACTTCCAATGTCT